CCCCCCCCCCCCCATTTTTGGGATTCTTGAGTTTACCTTTGCGTATCTACTAATCTCCTACAGTCAAGTGACAAAGTCCAGTGACAGAGAAGCAGGACTCAGATTAAGGGTTTCAATACTTGATACATCCAAACCAATGCCCTGCTGAGCTGTCAGTGGGAAAGCTGTCCAAGCCAACTCAAACCATTACTCACAGACACTCCAGGACTCAGGGAAGGACATGTTGGGTCAGTGACATTGTGACCTTCTCCTTGATACTCCACCAGGACATCTGATCGCCAAGTCACATTACTGTCACCTCTCTAGAAAGAAGAGCAAAAGTGGTTCCTGTGAGGCATATATATAGACTGTGAAAAGGACCACAAAGTTATTTATTCTACTGCTACAGGAGCCTTGGCAGTCAAACCTAATTGGACTGTTCATTCAGTAACTAAAGGGAATGACTAAAACTGATGCATATTAAGGCTACTGAGTATCTTATAGAGCCCTCGAAAGTGATGGTCAGTCAAATGCTTTGAGCATTTCATACTTACCTCCCAAGACAGCTTACTTCTGTGAGGCAGGTCAGGAATGGAAACGAACAAAGTAGCTAAGCAAGAATCGGTCACAGTGCAAGGTGCTGAAGTCCAGGTTAGAATAAACAATGCTGCCCATAAACTGTGTAAGAACTAGTCTAAGCTCATACTAAGAAATTTATAACTTAATATACACAAGGACAAAAACTCACAAGTATTAACCAGGGCTGTGCTAAGGACGGTAATAGGTTCAAAGTACTTCTTGATGGTCAGAATGAAGATACCACTCACCCATGAACTTGTGGGAGAATTCCCCCCACCCCCATTCAGTTCTTATAGCTGGAGTAGTAAAATAAAATAGTAAAACTGATACAAGACTAAGTTAATGAGAGAAAAACCAATTTAATATGTGTGCACGGGAGGATCACAATATGATACTCAGATCATAAAAGAGGCTCAAAGGCATGATTGAACTAGGCACCCTTTTATACTTTTTAGACAAAGAAACAATAAATTTGTGAGAAAGTGACAGGCCCGATAAAGTTAGTGCTCGTTAGAAAGGAATCTAAGCAAAGTTTGGGTATTCATTAGTGAGAAATCTAAACAAAGTTTGGGCCTGGGTAGTAAATTAGTAAAGGTGGTACAAGGCTTTCGACTCTTTTAACTCTTGTGATGGGTTGTCTCCCAGCCCTCAGGAGCAGGGACGGCAGCTATCACATGGGAGATTCACCTCCTGCTCTCAGGGAAATGCAAATCAAAAGCACAATGAGATACCACTTCACACTGACTACAATATAATAAAAAGATAACAGCAAGGCCCTGGCCAGTGTGGCTCAGTTGGCTGGAGTGTCGTCTAGTACACCAAAAGGTGGCGGGTTCGATTCCTGGTCAGGGCACATACCCAGGTTGCAGGTTCAATCCTAGGTTGGGGCGCATGCAGGAGGCAACCCATTGATGTTTCTCACATTGATGCTTCTTTCTCTCTCCTCCTCTCTAAAATTAAAAATAATACTAATTTTTAAAAAAAGGTAACAAGTGTCAGCGAGGACGTGGAGAAATTAGAACCCTTGTACACTGCTGGTGGGAACATATGAAATGGTATAGTTGCTTCATAAACAGTATGGCAGTTTCTCAAAAGGTTAAACAAAGTCACCATGTGACCCAGCAATTCTCCTAGGTATATATCCAAGAAACTGAGAACATTTGTACACAAAAAACTTGTACACAAATGTTCATAATAGCATTATTAATAATAGCCCCAAAGGGGGAAAAACCCGAATATCTATCAACTGATGAATAAATGTGGTACATCTATATAATGGATTATTGTTCAGCAATAAAAATGAATGAAGTACTGATACACATTACAATGTAGATGACCTTTGAAAACATGCTCAGTGAAAGAAGCTAGTCATAAGAGGCCACATATTGTATGATTCTATTTATACAAAATGTCCACAATAGGCACATCTATAGAGACAGAAAATAGATTAGTGCTAGCTGGTGCTGGGAGAGGGAGCAATGGGGGAGTGACTGCTGATGTTTTTGGGGTGATGAAAATGTTCTAAAATTAGATTATGGTGTAGCTGCACAACTCTGTGAATATACCAAAAACTGTTGACTTATGAACTTTAAATTAGTGAAATGTATAGTAAGTGAATTAAGCTGTTAAAAAATATATATATTTATCTCATTAATAAACAAATATGCATTTCTTTATTAATGATAAATATATATTTTTTAACAGCTTAATTCACTTACTATAACTGTATAGTAAGTGAATTAAGCTGTTATATATTTGCATAGTAAGACCAAATAAAATCTTGGTCTTTTTCACCTACTAGGGTGGCAAAAATTAAGTTGCCTGCCAGTACATATAGAGCAAGGGGAATTGTCACACATTGCTGGTGAGAATGTAAATCGGTGACCATTTTGTAAAATAACTCGATGTATCTGTAGAATTGAACATGTGCAGTTCCTGTAACCTTGGTACATACATGAGTGCTCACTGGGAGACATGTATAAGAATGCTTTAGCAGAACTGTTCCTAAAACAAAGCTAGAGCAACAAAAATGTCCATTGACTGACAAGGAAACAGATAATTAAGTGGTGATACATTCATGCAGTGGAATGTTACACACCTGTGAACAACATAGATCAGTTTCGAAAAAATGCTGAATTGGAAAAAGTTCCAAATGACATCCAGTAGGATGTCATTTTTAGAAGGCAAAACATGATCAAAACCAGGTTGTGTTGTTTAGGGACACATACATAATAACCCTAAAAAATAAAAGCCAGATAATGAGAACCATGAAATTCAGGAAAGTGATCCTCCCATGGGGCAGGCAAGGGATGGAATGGGGAAGAACACATAGGTAGAAGTCCCAGTATTGGGAATATCTGAGTTCTTAAATGAGAGGATGGGTTCATGGTATCTCTTGCATTTCATAAGTAATTTGAGTTACATGTGTTCTCTTGTATGAATCACATACTACCTAACAATAAACTGCAATAGATTCAGAAAAGTCAATCAGTAAGATTCACCTATGAGTCACCGTAAGTGCCTAAAATATTTCAGGACCAATCTTTCCAAACTTGTCTATGTTTAAACATACTAAAATACATTTTTAAAAAAATATTCTTATTGTGATTCTAATGGAATGGATCACATTTCCCTTTTATTATTTTTTTCAAATATATCTTTACTGATTTCAGAGAGAGGAAAGGAGAGGGAGAGAGTCATTGATTAGCTGCCTTCTGCACGCCCCCAACTGGGGATTGAGCCCGCAACCCGGGCATGTGCCCTGACTGGGAATCGAACCCTGACTGCCTGGATCAACTTTGAGCCACGCCCGGCTGGGCTAAAATACATTTTTAATAACAAAGAGATGCTGTTGTAAAACCACCTTTTCCCCACAGTATGGGGTAGGCACCTTTCCGAGTCAAAATACACAGATCTATATTATTTTGTGTTGGTTTAATATTCTATTGTTTAATGGTGCAACAATTTAACCAATTCCCTACTGGATATTTAGGTTTTTTGTTTTCTTCTCTTAACACTACAAGTACATATTTTATAGTTAGCTTTGTACGGTGCCAGGCACACAGTAGATACTTGAATGTATTTTGTTTTCTTAGAAGAGATTCCCAGATGGAACTGCTTGATGTGTATATTCTGAAGTGATACCTTGTTAAATTAGCCTCCTGATGGTGTATACTGACTACACTTTTATGAACAGAGTCTGAGTGGTTTCCATTTTCTCAGACTTTTGCAAACAGTGGGTGTCCTGGCCAGTTCTGCAGGCAATAAAGGCCTCCTTCAGTTAAGCATTTCTTTGATCAGCATTGATGGGATCTTTCTGCATTTACTTGGACCATTTCTAATTCCTTGGTGAGTTGATTAGTTGTTTACTTTGCTCATTTTTCTACTGGGATATTAATCTTTGCTTCTATTAGAACTTATTACCCCTTTTCACATATGTTGCAAATGTCTGTGTCACCTGTCTTAATCTTGTTTACAATGATTTTTTTCGGGGCGGAGATGGAAAGTAGGAAGAATACAGAACTCTGTTTATATGTGGTCCGATCATTCTTTTTTAAAAACTCCTTCCTACCACAGAGAAGAGAAAAATTCTATTCTCTGTTCCCCAACTTTAATAGCTTTTTAAGCTAACATTTATACAACCTGGAATTTATTTCAGAGTCTTGGCTCAGGCCTGACTGAGGGCTTTATACTCACCAAAATGGGCAATAAAGACATCCCATCCATCTGTGTCTTATTCAGGCTGTAGCCAGCAATGTCCAAAATAGTAGGGCCCAAGTCAATGTTGGCAACGAGCATCTATGGGAATGAGAAAAATAAAGTTTTCCTTTTCTATCTGTACTCTCTTCCCCCAACCTCACCCACGAGACAAACAGCATTTACTACCTTTTGTACACCCCATACTTACTTAGATCTTACTGATTTATATATTCAAGTATAACTATAGTAATTTAAAAAACAAAGGCTTATAAAGCTTGTAACATATGCCCCTGGGAAGTTATATATTTATTCCATCCATACTGTTATTGATCAAAACATTTTTAAAAACTCATTTGGGATTGCCTAGAGTCTGTTATGAATCATGAGAAAAATGTTGGTCTATTTTATACAAAGTGTTTTCCAACTTGATTATTCTTATTAGTTCACTAAATTTAACTTCAAATAGACTCCTGACAATTTTGAAAGCCTTAAAGGTTGAATGCTTACCACCAAGGAGGATATTAGCCCTTAAAATGTTTGCAATAGACTTTGAAGATGGCAAAAAACTTATTCCAACAGTACATCAAAAAGTTTCCTTAAAGAGCACAGAACTTAGATGTTTTAAACAAACATCCTAGATATTAAATATACTATCCTGCATTTATTCCTTTTCTTATTTCCTTGGTTTATTAGACCATTCTTCTTCTGTATACAATGCCTCTTCAGAACCTAAACCAGCACAGTCTTCCATTAGAAACAAAATAGGACCATCTATGTAATTTAAAAATATCCAGTGACCACATTTAAGTAAAAAGAAAAGGGGGAAATTCATTGTATATATATTTAACTTGATAAATAAAAAAAACTATTTCAACATGTGAGCAATACAAAAAAATTAATGAGATTTTATGTTTTATTTTTGAACCAAGTCTGTGAAATGTGGCATTTAAAAATGATATCTCAGTTTGGACTATCTCATAGTCTATTTTTGACTCAATAGCCAATGTGGCCAGTGGCTATTATAGTGGACAGTGCAGGCCTGTATAGAACCTAAGCACAAACCTAGCAATCACTTTGCTCACAGGTTAGGAAAAGCTTTAGAGTGGTGATGACAACCCACTAGGGAAACAAGGGGAACTAATGCCTACTGAGCACCTATTCTGCGCCAGAACTCAGCGTTTATGCTCATTTAATCTGTACCACAATCCTAGGGTGCAGTATTTCCCTCATTTTACAGATGAGGAAATGTAAGAGAAGTAACTAAAACAAAGTCAACAGCTTGTCACTGGAAAAGCTATCATTTACTCAAAGGAAATAACAGTCTTCAAAATTATTAAGAAAACTTAGGTCATCTTGGGGGAGGCCACACGGGGGTTAGAAAAACAACCCCTCCTAACCCTGGTACTTTTAATTTAAAAACAAAACCAAAAGTACAGACACTAAAGGCAAGAAAACACTTTCAGATTGTTGTTCATCTGGCTCTGAATCAATTAGTGTGAACTAATTCTGCGGCTGTCAAAAATGACCACGCAGTGGCAGGAGCTCAAGGGAAAGGCAATCCATACGTTACCGAGGAAAAAAAACCCATGGCAATGTCTCTAGGGATTATATCAGACCTGGGTTAGAGATCTTGCCTAGTTCCAAGTCCACCAGGCAGACTGAGAAGCTTGGAATAGGGTCAACAAGAGTGGGTATGAATAAAAAGATTTCATGCCAGGAAAGAGATAAGCAGAGACACGACCTCCAGAATCAGATCAAGGCAACAAGACCCTGACTTGTCACTGACAGATCCTCAGTGATGTCCAGAATACTAATGAAGCAAAGCCAAGTCCACAGGTATTACTAACATGTTGAAGGCAGTTTTATAAGAAAAGAAAAAGGGTAAACACCCAAATAGCAAAACCCACAGAGATATAAAATGGTAACAGCCCGTCTCACCAGGAATTAAGAGCCATTAGCTGCATGATGAGAGGCTCTCTCGAATAGCAGTTTGCTCTAAGAGGAGAAAGGTCTGTAAGTTCCAGTACAAGTCAAATGGCACTATGACTCAGCACAAATACCACATACGCTATCCCAGGACTCTCTTCCCAGATAACTACAATGATCTTTTCCCTTCTAGAGTTTTGTTTGACTAAGAAGTAGATCTCAAAATTAGCATGCTATGTCAGGAGATGGGAGACTCCTAGTGGATACTGAGAATGAGTGAAGAATTCACCCAAGAATTATATCTATCTCTGGCTTTTATACAACCCAGAATTAAAACAAATACTATGGGTCCATCACTATAATAACTTCTACAAACATTAGCGTTTTAAGTTCCTAAATGGTACAGATGGTGTGATGTCCTGATAAACACATCATAAACCAAAAATATCATAAATCAAAGATGCATTTAATATGTCTAACCTACCAAACATCATAGCTTAGCCTATCAGGTTTCTACTGAATACATATCACTTTTGCACCACCATCATAAAGTCAAAAAATTGTAAATCAGAACGCTGTAAGTCAGGGACCGCCTATACTGCTTTTACCCCTAAGCATAAACTCAAAGATTCACTTACAGATTGAAACTGAAAAAGCTTGGACAAGACCAAAAGTAGATGATTTCATAAATCATAGCCTCAGTTTGGGAATGTTCTTGGGATTTAAATACATGGCATTCTGATCAAATAAAAGCCCTAGAAAACCCTGGGGCATGAACTCAAGGGGCATCACGCCTTGAAAGGGCTTATTTTTTAGCTCTGGAAGAATGATGGTGCTGCAGAATCAATGAGAAGAGTAAGAGGGCTCTCAGGAGGATACATCCGGTTTCCAAATCGACATTTAAGCCCTGATGTTAAAGAATTCACGTAGGGATATCAAAGAAAGGTCTCAAAGCAGATCAGAGAGCTCCCATTGAGGGGAAAGCACTGGAACAGTATGAGCAGACAACTTCCCCCTTCTTGGGCCATTCCATCTGGATGTATCCCTTGGCCCAGCTTCTCTAATAATGAAGAAGCCAAGCATCCCCTACTTGCACTGAACATCCTCCCAACTTCACACAGGAAACCAATGCTTATTCTGTCCCAAAGTCTTAAAGCCAGTATGTGGTCTTCCTAACTCCCAGTTCAGTTCTATTTTCCCTGAATCATGCTGGTCATGTTAGTTTTCCTACAAACCTTTTCCTGTCTTAAAACCCCTTTGAAGAAGTTTTGCCACCAAACCTAAAGCTAGATTAGTTTCTAGCAAGAGGAGAAAATTTCAATAGCCAACCTTGGGGAACCACAAACCACCCCTGCCCCTGCTCTCCCGAGTAGCCAACACAAAGCTAAACCCACTGAGCCAAATGTGTCCCTTTTCTGCCATTAGGCTGTTGACAGCTCAGCTCATTATGCCCAACTCACACAGAACAACTGGAACCGACACAACTGTGCTGCCAACACATGATGAATCACCACCGCCTCTGACATTCTCTGTGCTAGATGAAAGCTGGGAATTTCATACTTCTCAAACTACATCTGTCAGCACAGCAGGGTAAAAACTATGCATTCTGAGAACAGGCACAGTTCATTTTCAGTCCTGGTCTGCCACTTATTATGTGACCTTGGTAATACCCATTCAACTAACATGGATGTCCCCCAATGTTAAGGGCTGGGTATTCTAAGTTTAGACAGTGCTTCTTTCTAGGAACTCCTAGAGTAAAAAAGACAAACTCAGTAGGGTGTGGTCAATGTAAGGCCAGGGACATGGGAAGGGCACCTACCCTATGTGGGGGCAGGGGTTTGTAGTGACTTCCCAGAGGGGACCCCTAAAAGACAATTAACATAGCCTGGTGAAAAAGGGCATGAGATGGGCATTCCAGACAGGGCAAGGAGGTGAGAGAGATGGTTCACTTAGGAAGTGAAAGTAGTTCAGTACCAGGGCCACCTTCTGTCCCCTGAACAAACCACGCCCACTCTCATGTCTGTGCCTTTACATTTACTGTTCTGCCAGAACACCCTCCCACAGATCTCTGTGACTAAAGCCTCTCAACACCCAGGTCTCTGCTCGGATGCTTCAGAGGCTTTCAATGACAACTGTAGCTAAAAGATCTGGCTCTCCCTGACAGAATGAGTTAGGAACTTATCTTCCTGGACTGATGACTGCTGTGTACCCAAGGTTCCTGGCACACCGTGCTGGCACAAGATACTTCATAAATACTTGTCTGAGATACAGTGTAATTGTTAAGTGTGTGGACTCTGGAGTCAGGTTGACCAAATTCAAATACAGGGCTCTGATATACTTTAGCTATATGATCTTGGGCAAACAACTTCTGTACCTCAATTTCCTCATCTGTAAAATGGGGCTAATAGTACCTATATCTCATGAGACTGTGAAGGTTAAATGCGTTGATATAGATAATACATTTAGAATAGCACCTATCACACACTAAGCATTCAATAAATGTTACTTGTTATTGTTGAAATGGCTTCCTAGGAAGCAGGCTTCATTAGATTGCTTAGAGAGGGTGAAGTTTTTAATTTTAACATTTAGATGGCACTGTTAACTTGAAGAAAAAGGGCCAGTTTGTTCCACGGGCAGCTGGCTGACACACTGCACTCTGCTCTCACTCAGCCTCTTTCCCCACACTGGTGAGAAATGGTTCTAGCAGCCCTGCTCCTTAGAAATGCACACAGCTGCTAACATTTTCCTCAATCAGCGCCCAGCACCAAGATCAATAAAACGCTTTTAAATTTAATGGTCTTCCAAACTTGCCTATCTCCTTTGTAAGAAGAGGCCTGTTTAGAGGATATTGAATTTGTAGTGGGAAGTGAGTGGCTTTAAGAATATGGGTCTTAAGAGAAAAAGAAAACTCAAAGGCAATTATGAAGGCCATGGTACCTTTCTGAGAGAATTTTAACAGAATTCCATAAGAGCATTGTACAAGGAAGTAAGTGAATGGCAGACATTTAAGCAAAGTAAACATTAAACTCCCAAATTAAACTAGCGTATACCCAGAAAGTCTGGCCCATTGTCTAAGTCCAGCTTATATATTTGCTCATTTTCTTTTGTTTCACAGAAGAGCAAAAATTGTGAATCAGGAAAGAGAGCAGACATAACTGGTAGAGCCTCTCAAT